GAAAAATGTAAGACTCGGATTCGAAAAGAGGTCCCAAAAGCAGGGCCAACCTTTGGTCCATTTGAACCACCCCCTTTCAGTTCGCCAAAAGACCTGGTCGCCGGCAGGTGTGCGACTCGGTTGAACGCTCCAAAACGTTGCTGCAGCTTCCCCCCTGGTTTGGGTCCAAAAAAACATCGCTGGTTTGGTCTTCCGGATTGGTGGTTTCCTATCCCTCCAGAACCAGGGACGCGTGCAAATCCCAAAATCCATCCAAGCTCGCAACTCAGAGGTTGCTTTGAAACCCGTCCAACCCCAAAAAAAAAGAGAGAAACCACCGGCCAAAAAGAGGCCACAGGAAGGGCTGGAAAGGCCAGAAGCCACGATCAAAAGCTGCGGGGCCTTTTGGGCTCAGCTGAACGGTACCAACCGCTAACACCGGCATTAAGCCTGGTGCCGCGCCGTGGCAACTGAGAGGGTCCCAGAAAGGAAATGTTCATCTTCCAGGTACCTCCCCACAGGTGGAAGCATTAGTTGGAAGGGCAACCAAAACAAATACCAAGCACACGGCCTTCCACGTTGCCCCGGCACCTGACAGGCCTATGGGTCCCGTCAAGAGAAAACTCTCCAGCCTCCCCACAGGTGCCATGTGAGGAGGAAGGGTAAACAAAAATACTACCAACATCGCAACCATTTGAGTGTGTGGGTCTTCCTGTTTCAGGAAACACCTAAATGGTGTGAGAAAACATGGCCAATCGATTTTGTGACTACATGAACTCACGTCGAAGGGGTGTCCATCTAACAGAAGGTCCTTCACTTTGTGTAGGAACCCCTCCCCCCTATTTGGGGGTGGCTCAAAAATGTCACCTAAAATAGCACCTTGGCAAATGGAAACAAAGACTAAAACCTGCCTAACCCTAGATCCTTAATTTTGAGCCACACCCATTTACTCTCCAGCTCGATTGTTCCAGAGTCGGAGTTTATGTTCTATCTTACCTTTTTCTCGGGTGGGAGCTCAGCAGCTGATTCAAGCCTGTTGCAATGGTTGCTCAATTAAACATGCCCTACATGAGCATCACTGTCAAAGCAAGAAACCAAATACCCGGGCTGCCTGTTTTCTGACCCCCCGCTAAAAGTGAATAACTTTTAGTGGGTTAAATCGAAACTGCCACTAAAAACTAAGAAAACAAGCTAAGGGAATGGCTGCGAGCCACCAAGATACGTAGCACGGAAATTGTTCAGCAGTGTGTGGCGACCTAAAACGAACTTTTGTTCACCACGGGTGAGCTCGCTTACCCCCAAGTGAGCTCGTTGTAATTTGCCCAGAGCAATGCTTGTGTGGAACTAAAACCTGCTTGTTCCATCTTGGTGTTTCTCAGAATTAGGCCTAATTCCTTCAGTTGGTTGGTTTCCTTTTGGTTGTCCTCTACCATGCTAAAAGGAACCCCTATTTTGAAATTCTACTAGGGAACCCCTGTAAAACAAACACAGACACTCAAGTGGTTTGCCTTTGGTGTTGCTTCAAACTACCCCAAAACGCACACTTTTCGCCTCCAACAACCCACACACCCACCTGGAAAGCTGGATTTCCCTTCTATTCAAAGCAAAACCCATCCAGACCTGCCACTTGGTTGACCCCCATTTTTTTTACCTGCTGGTTCGCCCAAGACAACCGGCTTGGAGGTAAAAATCGAACCAGTGTCCCCTTGAACCCCCCACCCCACCCCCCCTCCCCCCCCCCCGGAAGACCGCCAAGACCGCCTGCCAGACGCGCTTGGCCGCGGCGGAGGCGGCGAAGGTGGCCCCAGTGCGGCGCAAAGGCAGGCGCCACTTGGCGCAGGTGCGCTGCATCAGCCTGGGGCCGGGCTGAACATCTCTTCCCCCCTCCTTTTCTTGATTCACGTTGGAAGGGGAGCAAAAAAAATATGTTTTACAGTTCAGTGGTTGGATTTCAACCACCAACTTTATGTTGGTATTGAAAAATTGCCACGTTTCAAATGGTGGCAAAATGTCTTTTCTAAGGAGCCCTGCTGAACCAGGCAGAGTCATCATTATGGCTGCGGGTCAGAAGGTACCCAAAATGGAAACGTGGACTAAAAACCCGCGGTTTTTTGGTGGTTTAGTTTTGACCCGTACCAATATAACCAGGCAGAGTCATTGGAACCAGAGACATAAGAGAGAGTCGAGTGGGAGGGTTGTGGTTGGGGGGCGCTTCGGGTCGCTTCGGGTCGCTTCCGGGGCGCTTCGGGCCGTGCTTCGGGTCGCTCCCGGTTGCTTCCGGGATGCTTCGGGTCGGAAGCGGCTCAACCCCGAAGCCGAGGCGCAACCGCCCCAGCTCCTCCAGGGTCTCCGCCTCCAACAGCCCCAGATCCCGCTGCAGCATCCCCTCCTCCGGCGCCGGCCGCAGCAGCTCCACCGCGGGTCCGGAGGCCTCGTCCCAGCGCCGCCAGCACGCCTTGCAGAAGAAGCTGGAGCCGTAAGAGCCCTGGCCGTAGTATCCTGGCGAGCGAGGATACTGCAGACTTGGGCCAAGAAAACAATTGCCCCCCAAGCAGCACGCAAGCTCCTCTAAGCCCTGATTGTCAGGGCTTTTTATCAATCAGGGCTTAGTTGTGTGCAAAGCTTTTTGGTTGCTGTTTGAGTGGGAACCTCAAGACCAGTTTCTCAACCTAGACTCCTCCAACTGGTTTGTTTCCTTTCTGAAACACGAAGGAGAAGCCATCCCAAAGTGGGCTCTTCATGTCCGCCTCCTTTTGATAACCTCCATTTTGGCGAAAATGACGAGGGAAGCCAAACAGCAACCATTTTTAGGGCGGGGCCCCTTCCCCGGTTGGCAGCTACAGGAAGCAAACCGGAAACAACTTGTTTTGTTTCTTCATTTATTTATTTTTTTTGAGGGGGTCCTTGTTTTGTGTCCGTCTTTTGGCGGGGATTATATATATATATATATGTTGGGGGTGGTCTGTTCTTGATTCTCGTCTTGTCGGGGGTTCGTTTCTCTTGAACCAGTCCAGGTCGAGGGCCAAGCTCCCCCCCCCCCCCCCCCCCCCCCCGCCGCGCATCCTGCCGGGTCTTGCCCGCACTCGCCGCATCTGCCGGCCGTCAGCGCCTCCGCGGCGGCCACCAGGCGCTGGGCCGCCGCCTCGTGGACGTTGGAAGGAACCGGTTCAGCGGTGGGATTTCAACCACCAGACCACAATGAGCACCAAAATTTCAACCCACCAAAAAGAGCAAAATGCAAAATGTATGGGGAAAAAGCGACTAAACCACCAAATGTAACATATGTTCCCAACCACAACCATGGCCTCCACGTCGCCGCCGCAGCGCGCCAGCGCCGCGCGGCACTCCTCCACATCGCAGCTGGTGATGGACGCCAGCAGCGCCAGCTGCTCGTCCATGGCGCCGGGGGGGGGGGAACAACAACAGTTTTTTGGTATTATTATTATTATTCGTATTATTATTATTATTATTATTATTATTATTATTATTATTATTATTATTATTATTATTATTATTATTATTATTATTATTATTATTATTATTATTATTATTTGTATTCGTATTATTATCATTGTTCTTATTGTTATTATTATCATTGTTATTTTTTAAACAACAACACCTAGATAGCCAATTTTTGCTGCCTTTTTCAGCCACTGTTGTTTTCGGGGTAAACTTCATGGAAAAAAGCAGCAACTGGCCATCCAGGCAGTTCTTTTTCGGGCGGGGGAAAGGGTCGACAGATCATCTTGGGCAAAAAACTAGGAAAAGGGAGGAGCTCTCGTAGCCAACACCTTGCAGAAGAATCTGGGTCGGTCCAAGCAAAACCCTGCCAATCAACGGAAAGCAATGTGTTTTGTGTGTGTGTGTGTGTCGCCTCGTGAGCATCTCTTCGCCTGCAGGCTTGCCACGTCCAGCTTGGGCGAGCGTCTTGGGGCCTGATGATGGCTGCACTGGAACTTCGGAAGCAACGAACAGCTTGCCGGTGCTTAGGGAATGTAGAAATGAACCCAGGATTTTCCTTAAAGGAAGCCACCAGCTGGATGCTTTTATAAGGACCATTCCATTTCTCATTCCCTGAGCACCAGCCAAATGCCCTCGATGGCACGCCGGTACGCTCCCTTCCAACCCCTCGGCCCAGCCCCATTTCGGTCGAATCAAATCTTGGCTGACCTCGACCTGGTGGAAAACGTGTTTTGTTTAGGGATTCCCTTGGCATGGCAGAAAGTGACCTTAAATCCATGATATGGGTGTGTGTGGTTGTTGTGTCTCGCTATAAGGGTACCCCTTTGTTGTGGGTGTTGAAGGGAAACTAAGAAAAGACACACCCCGTAGGTTATTTCGCACCACCGCTGACCTCGATAAAATGTCCAGAGAATCCAAGCCCTGAATTGATTGTGCTTCCGTGTGCCTCTCGTCTGCAGTGAGTGGTTAGTTAGTGGGATCCAAGTCAAACCTTTCTGGGGGATATAGGTGTTTCGCTCAAAAAGAGCTGGAAGGGATCCTTTTCAGTCAAACCTTTCAGGGGGATATGGGTGTTTCGCTCAAAAAGAGCTGGAAGGGATCCTTTTCAGTCAAACCTTTCAGGGGGATATGGGTGTTTCGCTCAAAAAGAGCTGGAAGGGATCCTTTTCAGTCAAACCTTTCAGGGGGATATGGGTGTTAAGAGCTGGAAGGGATCCTTTTCAGTCAAACCTTTCAGGGGGATATGGGTGTTTCGCTCAAAAAGAGCTGGAAGGGATCCTTTTCAGTCAAACCTTTCAGGGGGATATGGGTGTTTCGCTCAAAAAGAGCCGGGGCTCTTTACGCCCGGCTTTCCGGGTCCGAGTGTTGTCCCAAATCTTGGCACAGGGCTGTGCGGAATGGAATGACCACTTCCGTGGCACAACAGAAAGGGGCCTAACTTACCCCAAAGGCCCCATGTTCTTCATATCAGGGGGATTTTCCCAAAAAAGTACCACAGGAGTGGGTGGGGAGAGAAACCCGGGTGATCCACCAGAACCCTCGATCCAGGGCCCGCCGGCCCCTGGCGTTTCCACAGCTCCCGCTGCTGGAGCAGCCTCGGCGGCGGAGAAAACTTCCAAGCGCCCCTTCTCTTGGTTGACCTTGGAAGGGCCGCAAAAAATTGGGGAAAAAATAGCAGTTAGGTGGATTTGGAGTTCAACCACTAAACCGCAATAAGCAAAAATGTGAAAATGTGTCCCAACAACAATCATGTTTTGCCAAGAAACCAGGCGCTTGTCCGAGCGGATGCACAAAAAACTCACCTGTCGCGCCCCTTTTCAGCGGGTAATAGTGGGTATGAACTTTCATCGGGGACACTATGATGACATCATTCAGGTATGGACCGCAGGAGTTTTAGTTCTGGTAAATGGAATGGGAATCAGGGCAAAGCATCTTGGGGTTACCTTGTCTTTCACGCCGCCGTTCGAGTCATGACAATGATATGCTTGCACTAAAGCATGCACTGGTGATCTGGGGGGTGTGGACCACTTCATACAAAATATGGTGTCTGCGTTTAGTAGGCGGAAAATCATCTCCTCTACTGAAACACTGGCGATGCTGGGGGTCTCCGTACAAAAAACACGTCGTCTTTCGCATCTCGGCATCACCACCAAGGTCTAATGTCACTGTTGAATCCTCTATATATATATATATATATAAAGATGAGAATGCAAAGCAGCAACATCCCCAGCATCACCAGCAGGACTTCGCTCCGACAAATGATCCAATGCTGTTCAGTTTAAAAAAGGTCTGTTTGACGATAATTACTTGTGATTCAATAATCATTTGAACGATGATTTGTTGCCGCTGCCGCCGCCCTTCTCTTGCGCCTCCCCTTTTAGCAAGCCGGCGGCGGATTTTCGCAACTGGCAGCCCCAAAAGCGTGCCACATGGGCTCGTCTCGAACCTGGTCTGGGATGGTTTTGGGTCCAAAGGGTTTTTTTTTTAAACGAGCGAGGGTCCGCCGAATATGTCTATACATACTTATATAATAATATTATATTGTGTGCTCTTTTTTTTGGAGGAGGGGGGGGGTACGGATGTTGCCAGCGAAAGAAGCTCACGTAGCCAGACGCCAAAGGGCGCTATTTTTGACAACCCAAGTGCGCACGGAAGCGACATGTTCACTACTTGGCACAGGTTCACATGTGATCAGCTTCATATGGTGTGTGGAAGCTCGCAGCTCACGATTCCAAGCAAACAAACTCTATTGCTCCCGCCCTTGGTATGCATCGCTTCCGTATCTTGCCCAATGTCCATGATTGCCGCGAAGCCAAAGTACCAACAAACCGAGCACACAACTCATTGGCCCAGCCAGCAAGCGCCCCCCCCCCTTCCAGTTGCCCAGTGACCCTGGTAGAACTGAAGGGAAAGAAACCGCTGAGCAAAAAGATGGGAAATGAACTGCACATGAACAGCTTGCTTGAAAAACAAGGGGACCTCAGGGCACAATTTCGCTGTGACCCCACCACGCCCACCAAACCGGGGGGATTTCGCTCGGGCCGCTCCGTCGCAGGGGCCTCAGCCCCCGGCTGCGGCTGGTCCAGCACCTGCGGATCCAGATCCGACTGCGAGCTCCGGAAACCGAGGGCAGTCCTTTGCATCCGCAAAGAATTTTTGGAAGGTTTCTTTTTCCCTGGGGCCAATGACTGAGCTGTTCAGAAGGAATCCGATTGTTGGAAGCCTTTTTCCCTCGTGGGGCCAATGACTGTGTTCAAAAGGGAGGGTTGGCCAAGCCATTCTTCCATGATCTCTGTAGGGAAGCCACTACAAAGGGATGCTGCTGCGCAACCCGAGGATTCAGGACTGATTTCCTTTTGAACAGCCCAGAAAGAGAAAGCCCCGAGCTCAACCATGTGGAACAAATAAAAAACCAGACCGCCAGACTGCAGATGGCTGGTCCAAAATTGGGGAATTGGAACCAAGGTCCAAAATCGGTCCATATCCAGATTCGCTGATGAAAAGATCTGCGCCATTGGCTCAAAAGGCAGCTGAGTAAATCGAAGTGGTAGGAAGAATTGCTCGCCGACGTGGACTTGCACAAGCCCAGACAACATGGGCAGAAAGGGACCAAGCTGCACATGAGCTGAACACATTTTCCCTGGCCGTCATGTGGGCAGCTGTCAACATTCAATCCTCACCTGACATCAAGTCTTCCATGCTGGCAGGAGGGTCATATGATTCAGAGCTGACGCACGAGAGCAGCCTAAAACGCGACTCGCGGCGAATCTTGCCACGGCCCTCCTTGCCAAAGCTCTCAACACGCGTGTCCTTCTTTCTTTGAGTTGGACCCCCTTTTTTTTAAAACCGAACCCCTGGGGCGTGTCCTTCCTTCTTAATGAGTTGGAACGTTCCTTTTTGGGGTGGCTTTGAAGGGAAACCAACAGGAAAACCCGGGCAAGGAAAAAAGGAAGAAGCAAAAAAAGAACACCAAAAACACAACCTTTGAGGAGGTGTTTGCTTGACGACAAACCTCCGCAAAGCACCTTCTCCACCAGCTTCTCCAGCTCGACCAAGGCCTGCGCCCAGAAAAAACGACCCGAGCGTGCCTTCGGCAGCCCGGCATGGACTGTCTACGCACAGTAGCCAATACTCTAGGGGTACCTTCCATTTCCATTCTTTCCAGGTGTCCTTCTTTCTAGAAAACCTCTGGAAACCCAGGGAGAACGGATCCGGATTTTTTGGAAAGAACGATGGTTGAAAAGAATGGGGAATAAACCAACAGAAATACTCACTTCTTGAGTGGGTCGGCCCCCAAAAAAAAGCCGGAAAGTGTAAGGTCCAGGAACTCAGGGAGTCAGAATAGAGTTCGTGTTAGACAAGGTATGCCCAAAAAAATGTGGCGTTCCTTTCGGCTTCCCTCTAAACCAATCCTAAAAAGGGTACCCCTCAACAATAAACACATCTCCCAACCTCCATCAGCCGGAAAGCATGGTTCTGAAAGCCCAAATCTATCCTTGTTATGGGACCTCCACATCCGAATCGATGCATTTACCCTTCCTCCCACTAACACAAAGCGTTTCCGGAAAATCCATGCTGACCCCATGTTGATCAACCCCAGTGTATCAATTTGGGGGTGTCCGATGGGCTGAGTGGTTGGAATCAGACCACTTTTGGAAGCCCCAAACTTGCTCAAACAAAAGTGGTCTGATTGCAAAAGTGGCCCTCAAACCACTTTTGGAAGCCCTCAAACCACTTTCTGCCTCTGTCGGGTACCCTTTGGCAATGCCGGAATTGCTTCCAGGTGCGCCGAGCGTCACCCGCTGAACTGTGAGCGGCGCGTGCGCGTTTCTCTCTGGGCCCAGCGGCATCGTCCATGACCGAGCCGATGGCTTCCCGGATGGGCAGCGGAGACCTGGAAACAAAGGGGAAGAAAAAAAACAACTCCCCTGCGAAGGAAAAACATGGGTGTGTGTTTTGACCATAGGACAAGTTCCCCATGGCCCCTAGATGGAAACTTTGGATCAACCCCCTGGCTAGGTCCTCCAGAGGAGAGAATACCCTTTTTCTGTCGTCTATTGTAGGGAAACCCTCCCCCAAAAAAGGGTAAAAGGGCACTACTGGGGGACCTAGTGTTGCGACCGTAACCTTGATTGTTGGGCCTTGGTTTGGGAAACCAAAAGGAAACCGAAACAGCGGTTTTGCGGTTTTGCCGGCCAGAATGGATCCACGAAAGAAAAACCAAAAACAAATGGTTTTCCAGGTTCCACGTAGCTACGAGACTTCCCAAGAGAAATCTTCGATTTGTTTTTTTCAAATCCGTGTAGCCACACAAACCCTGGGAATGAAATGGGTCCCAAAACTCGAGGGGGGGAAATGCTGTGTCTGTCGAGAGTACCCTCTGGGTTGGTTTCGGGGAAAACCAAAGGAAAACGACCACCCTTCTCTTTTTTCTTTTGAGGGGGGGGGTCCCCGCAGAAACCCGGCAAAAAAATCAATAACCAAAAGTCAATCCTAATGGTCTGGTAACCTTGAATTACACAAACTTGTGTGGCTCCAGTAGCTTGAACAAGCCCGAAAAAACCCGTCGCGTCGATGATTGAACCATCCCCAGGTGTCCTCTGCACAAAAAAGTCGAGTCCCGGATGAGAACGGGCCACACTAACACCTGTGAAGTCCATTCATCTCCCTACAGTATCTTTTGTAGCCGCAAATAAGTCATCAAAACCAAGCCATGTAAAGAATTCGGCACCTCATTAAAACCTGGTGCGAGGGAAGCCATGTAAAGAACCCGGCACCTCATTTCTGGGACCCCTTACCCTTCATCTACCCAGATTTTGATTGCGGCGCGAATGGCAAACGTACAACCACTTTGCTCTTGGGAGCAGGGCGCAGGTTGCAAAAGGGACAACTGGGCTCGGACGTCTCGCAAATGGATGTGAAATTGAATGGGGGACCCTTTAGCAGACGTTCATGGTCCACCAGCCACTTTCAGGTGGTTTGGGCGTGTCTTTTTATAGGAACCCACAAAATGCTGCGTGTTTTATTGTTGGTTTCCCTTCAAAACCACCCAAAGAACCGCCCCAAACATCAACACGTGTGACCTCTTGGGTGCCATGTTGAGGCCCCGGGCTTGGGGCCCTCCAAATCACCCTTGGGCAAGGCCTGGCGAAGTCGAAGAAAGCGGCCCATCGCATGGCCATGGGTCAAAACCCCGGTTCCCCCCAGTGAACATCCCGATCCAACCACTAGAATAGGTCCTAAAATGGGTGGTGAATTCACCTACCAACCAAACATCGGATCTGTTGACCCACAGCCACATCGTCTTGTTTTAGGGCCCCCCCCAAAATGGGTGGTTGTCCTGTTGGTTTCTCGGCTCAAAACCGCGCAAAACAAAACAAAAAAGTGGCCTCAAAAAAACACACCCGCAAATGAGTACAAGTTCAGTATCAAAGAAAGACACCTAGGCTCAAAATCCAAACTTGCCTCGAGTCTCGAGATGCGCCAAACGCAAACTGTATTTGCAGGGGGGCGAGGCGCGGCCGATTGACTCTCGGCCGAAACCGACTCTTTTTGACGCTTGAAAAGCCGGTAGCTGGGGTCTGGGGTGTGTCAGTCCTTTTGTGATCGCGCACAATTTGGGGCGGTTGAAAAGGGCCACCAAAAAGAAACCAACTATTTTTTGGGGGTCCCCTATTTCGAGACAAACCCACCTTGGCCTTCGGCAGCGTTGACAACCCCCAGCTGTTTCTTGGGCCGAACAAGGACCAAGAGCGCGCCCTGCCATGCTTGCTCCCTTCTCTTCCGCACTTCCGACTTTCGGCAAGGTTGAGATCACTTCGCCCGAAACACTTACGTGGCTTCCGTCGGGAATGCCTAAGGCTGCATTTCTGACGTGCGTCCCGTACGCCAGCCTTTTTTGGCCCACCAAGCACGAAGGGAGAAAGTCAATTTCGCCCAAATTACGTCTGAACTTCTTGCCGAGTGAGAACACACAATGTAATGGCCGATCGGAACCCCCCCCCCCGACTTGCGAAACGCTTCCGGGTTTCCCTCTCCGGGTGTCCGGCCTCGCGCAGCTGTTTGATCTGCTGCGGCCAGGGTGCCTGGCGATTTGCGGCGTTCACCCAAAGGTCCCACGAACATGGGATGACCTTTGAAACCACCAAAACACATTTGATATGTCAACCACACGGGAAAAGCTTCCCGTGGTCATTTGGGCGCCGAACGGAATATTGATCAACGCCCATTTGGGTTTGGGTGTGTGTGTGTGTGTATTGTGTGTGTGTGTGTTGTGTGTTGTGTGCTGTGTGCTGTGTGGTGTGTGTGTGTGTGGTGTGCGTGTGTGATGTGTGTGGTGTGTGTGTGTGTGTGAATGGTGTGTGGGGTGTGTGTGTGTGGTGTGTGTGGTGTGTGGTGTGTGGTGTGTGTGTGTGTTGGGTGTGTGGGGTGTGGGGTGTGTATGGGGTGTGGGGGGTGTGTGGGGTGTGGGGGGTGTGTGGGGTGTGTGGGGTCTGTGGGGGGGGTGGGGTATGTGGGGGGGTGGGGGGGGTGGGGTGTGTGGGGTGTGTGGGGTGTGGGGTGTGTGGGGTGTGTGTGGTGTGTGGAATGTGTGGGGTGTGTGGAATGTGTGGATTGTGTGGAATGTGTGGAATGTGTGTGGTGTGTGTGGTGTGTGTGTGTGGTGGTGTGTCGTGGTGTGTGGTGTGTGTGGTGTGTGTGTGTGTGTGGTGTGTGTGGTGTGTGTGTGTGTGGTGAGTGTGGTGTGTGGTGTGTGGTGTGTGTGTGTGTGGTGTGTGTGGGGGGGGTGTGTGTGTGGGGGTGTGTGGTGTGTGGGGTGTGGTGGGGGTGGGGTGGGGTATGTGGGGTGGGGTGGTGTGTGTGGGGTGTGTGGGGTGTGTGTGGTGTGTGTGTGTGGTGTGTGTGGTGTGTGTGGTGTGTGTGGTGTGTGTGGTGTGTGTGTGTGTGGTGTGTGTGTGGTGTGTGTGTGTGTGCTGTGTGTGGCGCGCGTGTGGCGTGTGTGGCGTGTGTGGCGTGTGTGGCGTGTGTGTGTGGTGTGTGGTGTGTGTGTGTGTGGTGTGTGTGTGTGGTGTGTGTGTGTGGTGTGTGTGTGGTGTGTGTGTGTGTGGTGTGTGTGTGTGTGCGTGCTGTGTGTGTGGTGTGTGTGGTGTGTGTGTGTGTGTGTCGTGTGTGTGGTGTGTGGTGTGTGTGTGTGGGGTGTGTGGGGTGTGTGTGGTGTGTGTGGTGCGTGTGTGGTGTGTGTGGTGTGTGTGGTGTGTGTGGTGTGTGTGGTGTGTGTGTGGTGTGTGTGTGGTGTGTGTGGTGTGTGTGGTGTGTGTGTGTGTGGTGTGTGTGGGTTGTGTGTGGTGTGTGTGTGTGGTGTGTGTGTGTGCTGTGTGTGTGGTGTGTGTGGTGTGTGGTGTGTCGTGCGTGTGTGTGTGTGGTGTGTGTGTGTGTTTGCTTGATTGCTTGCTTGCTTGCTCGCTTGTTTGCTTGTTTGCTTGCTTGCTTGCTTGCTTGCTTGCTTGCCTGCTTGCTTGTGTGTGTGTCTTTAAGTCTGTGTGTTTGTGTGTTTGTGTGTGTTGTGTGTTTGTGTGATTGTGTGTTTGTGTGTTTGTGTGTGTGTGTTTGTGCGCTTGTGTGTTTGTGTGTGTTTGTGTGTTTGTGTTTGTGCGTTTGTGTGTTTGTGTGTTTGTGTGTTTGTGTGTGTTTTGTGTTTGTGTGTTTGTGTGTTTGTGGGTTTGTGTGTTTGTTTGTTTCTTTGCTTGTTTGTTTGTTTGTTTGTTTATTTGTTTGTTTGTTTGTTTGATTGATGGTTTGTTTGTGTTTGTTTGGTCGGTTGGTTGGTTGGGTGTTTGATTGGTTGGTTGGTTGGTTGTTTGTGTGTTTGTGTGCTCTTGCGCTTGTGTGTTTTTGTGTTTGTGTGTTTGTGTGTTTGTGTGCTGTCGTATTTATATGATTGTGTGTTTGTGTGCTTGTGTGTTTGTGCGCTTGTGTGTTTGTGTGTTTGTGTGTTTGTGTGGTTGTGTGTTTGCGTGTTTGTATGTTTGTTTGTCTGTTTGTTTGTTTGCTTGCTTGCTTGCTTGCTTGCTTGTTTGTTTGTTTGTGTGTTTGTGTGTTTGTGTGGTTGTGTGTTTGTGTGTGTGATTGTTTGTGTGTGTGTGTGTTTGTGTGTGTTTGTTTGTTTGTTTGTGTGTTTGTGTGTTTGTGTGTTTGTTTTGTCTTATTTTCTTGTCTTTTTTTGGTTGTTTATTTGGCGGTTGGTTTGTTTGTTTGTGTGTTTATGTGTTTGTGTGTTCGTGTGTTCGTGTGTTTGTGTGTTTGTGTGTTTGTGTGTTTGTGTGTTTGAGTTTTTGTGTGTTTGTGTGCTTGTGTGCTGTTGTGTTTGTGTGGTTGTGTGTTTGTGTGTTTGTGTGTTTGTGTCTTTGTTTCTTTGTGTCTTTGTTTCTTTGTTTCTTTGTTTCTTTGTGTCTTTGTTTCTTTGTTTCTTTGTTTCTTTTGTTCTTTCTTTCTTTCGTTCTTTCGTTCTTTCGTTCTTTCGTTCTTTCGTTCTTCGTTCTTTCCTTGTTTCCTTGTTTCCTTGTTTCCTTGTTTCCTTGTTTCGTTGTTTCTTTGTTGCTTTGTTTCTTTGTTTCTTTGTTTCTTTGTTTCTTTGTTTCATTGCTTCTGTGCTTCTTAGTTTCTTCGTTTGATTGTTTCTTTGTTTCTTTGTTTGTATTTGATTGTGTTGACTGTTTTTCTTTGTTGTTGTTTGTGTTTGTTTGCTTTTGTTTGCTTTTGATTGCTTGTTTTTGTTTTTGTTTTTTTGTTGTTTTTTTTTTGTTTGCTTGCTTGTTTGTTTGTTTGATTGTTTGTTGGTTGGTTGGTTGGTTCGTTTGTTTGTTTGTTTGCTTGCTTGCTTGTTTGTTGGTTTGTTTGTTTGTTTGATTGAATTTGTGTGTGTGTCTTGCTTGTTTGCTTGCTTGCTTGATTGCTTGTTTGTTTGTTTTGATTGTTTTGTTTGTTTGGTTGTTTGGTTGTTTGTTTGTTTGTTTGATTGATTGTTTGTTTGCGTGTGTGCGTGTGTGTGTGTGCGCGCATGTGCGCGCGCATGTGTGTGTGTGTGTGTGCGCGCGCATGCTTCTGCGCGTGCGTGCGCGCGTGCCTGCGTGCGTGCGTGCCTGCGTGCCTGCGTGCGTGCGTGGGTGTGTGTGTGTGTGTGCACGTGTGCGTGCGCGTGCGCGTGTGCGTGCGCAAGTGCGTGTGCGTGTGCGTGTGCGTGTGCGTGTGCGTGTGTGTGTGTGTGTGGGTGTGCGTGTGCATGCGCATGTCCGTGTCCGTGTCCGTGTGCGTGTGCGTGCGCGTGCGCGTGCGTGTGCGTGTGCGTGTGCGTGTGCGTGTACGTGTGCGCGCGTGCGCGTGCGCGTGCGCGTGCGCGTGCGTGCGCGTGCGCGTGCGCGTGCGCGTGCGCGTGCGCGTGCGCGTGCGCGTGTGGCGTGCGGCGTGTGTGTGTGCGTTTGCGTGCGCGTGCGCGTGCGCGTGAACGTGCGCGTGCGCGTGCGCGTGCGCGTGGGCGTG